GTCATTTTATGTATTTTTTGTACTCTAGCAATATTCTTTGAAATTCTTTGAAAATTTTCACCCATATATGATACTTGGCAACTACACTAATAAGCTGATTGGAACAACCCACTTATCAGCCATTATATTAATAATTAAGCATATAATACTTTACATTTTTCCATTTGTAAGTGAAACCACAAATTTTTAAGTCGGGCCTCCCCGGTGGCAACAGCGGTTGAGCGCTGGGTTGCGAAGCTGCCCGCAGCCTCTGCAGCGCTGGTTTGATCCCCGGCTGCCAGGCAAGGGTCCCACATGGCGCGCAAACCTCTCTTGCGGTGCGCTGCTCCCCTCAGCAGTGTACTTTGTCAGTCTGCCTGTTCTGCTCCCTGCTCTGGTTCTGGTGAATCCTCTCCCCTCCCGCGCTTCTGCTGTACCCAGCGCTTATATAAATAAATAAATAAATCTTTAAAAAAAAAACAAAACAAGTTTTTAAGTCAACCAAAATAAGTTTTATAATATGAATGTTTGATACATTTACCATTTTAAATTTGTCAGTATTCATTGCATTCAAAGTATAAATATATCAGTGAATTGTCAAGAACATACTGTGTATTAAGCACTTAGCAGAGCACTTGGCATATAATAAAGGTTCTTGATGAAACAATAAATGCATGTTAATAACTATGTAATCAAGGTGCAGCTTTGAATCAGAATCTGGTTTTAAGGGCTAAAGTCCTGCTAATGGGCATAGGTGGAACTGTGCTGATAGGAACAGGGACATTTTCTAATAGCTGCAAGTTAGAAGGGTGTGAAATTGGGCCTAAATAAATAAATCTTAAAAAAGGGGGGGGGTGCGGTGTGCCTCCCTGGTGGCACAGGCTCTTGAGCACAGCGTTGTGAAGCTGTCTGCAGCCTTTGCAGCAGGGTTTCGATACTGGCCGGCCAGGGAAATACCCATATGTCGTAGCAGACCTCCTCTGTCTCACCCGCTGCTCCCTTCAGCAGTGTATTTCAGTCAGTCTGCCTGTTCTGTTCCCCACTCTGTCTCTGGTGAATCCTCTCACCCTCCCGCACATCTGGCCTGTACCCCAGTTCTTGTATGCATGAATAAATATTTAAAAAAATTAAAATTAAAAAAAGGGGGGTGAGAAATTACCTCTACCATTTAACTACCACAAATACTAAGGAGAAAAGGGAAAAGATTGTTTAGAAATCAGCCATCAAGATTCTACAATGTTGGGGAGACAGAACAAGAACGCACAAATACTTGTGTGATGACATCATGTAGGACTTACAGTCTGAACACCTGGCACATCAATTTGAGTGGTGTGAACAGGAGCCTCCACATTTTGGTAGTACAAACAAAAAAAATTTCCATATAGGGACATAGTATCCATTGAGGACATTTTTTGGAAATGAACATGACCTCCAGCACATTTTTAATTTCTTGCAGACACTGAAGCAGATGAAGAAAATGTGCTTATTGACACCTTTTACTTTTCCATATTACCTTTTTGGTTTTTTAAAAAAAATATTTATTTATTTATTTATTTATGCATACAAGAGCTGTGGTACAGGCCAGAGATGTGCGTGGTGAGAGGATTCACTAGAGACAGAGTGGGGAACAGAACAGGAAGATTGACTGAAATATACTGCTGAGGGGAGCAGCAGGCGAGTCAGGAGATGTCTGCTGCGCCATGTGGGTTTCTTCCTGGCCGCTGGGGACTGAATTCATGCGGCAGAGGCTGCGGATTGCTTCGTAGTGCAGTACTTAACCCCTTGTGCCACCAGGGGAGACCCCTTTTTTGTTTTTTTTATCCAATTCTGTCTTGTCGTAAAGAAAGTTATGCTTAGTTTTAAATCTTGTTCTTCAGTTAATGTTTGGTAGTAGCTGGAGTTCAAGAGACATTTACATTTGTTTTTATTGCCTTTTATCAAATTTTTTTCTGCATTTTTTTGTATTAATGGAATTTCACAATTAACTTTTGTTAATGTTTTGAAAGTAATTTTTTTCAAATGATGTCAATAACAGAGGTCTGGGTAGCATTAAATCCTTGAAATTAGACTGTTGTGCAGACTGCTAATCATCCTTCAAATCCCATAACTTAAAAGTGAACCCCTTTATTTTTGTTGGATACACAACTGTTCCTATGGAATGCATCATCCAGCCTTCCCCTTTATGGTTGAATGGTAGCCCATGAGATATAAGTGAAAATGATACATGTGCCTTCTGGGTCTTCCTTTAAAAGTGCTGGGGCATGCATACTTTGCCCTTTCTTCCCATTCCTTTTGTGGGGTGTGGAATTAAAAATGAAACTTGTGCAACCATCTCAGATGCAGAAGTGGACGTTTTATGTCAATGATGGTGAAACAGCCATAGTGGGCCTGGCCTATAGTTTGAGACTTTCCTCTACTGTAATTTGATAAAGAAACTTTCACCATTTAAGCCACTGTTTGTTGGGTCTATTAAAGCAATTTTGTACTAAAACAAATAGAGGGGTAAATAAGCTTATCAAGGCAAAAGGATTAGACTTGAGGAAGGGAAGATGGAAGTCTTTTTTTCAAAAGATTTATTTTATTTATTTATGCATACAAGAACTGGGGTGTAGACCTCAGGAGGGGGTAGTGAGAGGATTCACCAGAGACAGAGTGGGTAGCAGAACAGGCGGATTGACTGAAATACACTGCTGAGGGGAGCAGAGGGCAAGACAGGAGCGGTCTGCTGAGCCATGTGGATCAGCTCCAAGGTCGGGGATCAAACTCGTGCTTCAGTGGCTGCGGATAGCCTCATAGTTTAACCACTTGCGCCACCAGGGAGGTTCCAAAAGATGGAAGTCTTAAATGAAATTGCCCTTTTTTGCAGAAAAGGCCTTGAGAAGGTATGTGTATATAGTATCAGTGGAAGATTCTTTAGGCAAAGGTCATTGAACCTAATGAGTTGCTTGTTTGAACTTGGATAAGTCACTTAAACTGTGTGTTTGCCCTTAAAATGAAAAGACTGAAGAGGGTGATCTCTCAACAGATTTCTGTCATTCTTAAGTCTATATTGCTCAAAAAAGACTGGAGAGTGATGAGGAAAAACTTCTGACATTAATTAAATTGATCTCTCAGAGATTCATAGTATAGGATCAACAACAATAGCAGTTATGCAGTTATGCATAGGGGGCAGTTGTAGAGCAGCAGTCTTCTATCTACTTGCAATTATTTAACTGATTTCATTTTGTTGAACCTTGCTTTTGTGGCAGCTAACACAAACACACATTCTGACCTTTTCTAAAACACTTTCCTCAGTTAACAAGCTAATAAACTGCCTTCCAAGTGACCCTTGGCTCAATATATCTGGTAAGAGTCACCAGCATTCTGGCCTGCAAAATGTGTGTATAACCAATTCAGTTATACATGCCTTAGATTTTTGTTACTGTAGCACACTACATTCAGGTACCAATTTTCTCATTTAGGGACTAAGTTAACACTGAGTTTCTTTAACAATCCAAAAATATATATAAAAATTTAGTAACTAAACATTTTCCTCATGTAACAGTCCCATGGTAGGCAGCACAGGGCTTATTATCCTCTGTCCTTTACAATGTAATTCAGGACCCAGCTTCCTTCTCTGTTATTGCTCTGCAATCCCTTATGGGACTTGTCCTTGTGCTCAAGGTTAAAGCTGGCTCCCCACCATCACGACTGAGTTCCAGCTAGTGTGATAAGAGAGAATAGAGAACCTGTAGTTTCTCTTTAAGATTTGTCAACTAACAGCTCTATGGTTCAAACTTTACCTAACTTTAATGTCTCTGTAGAACAAAGACTTGCAGAAAGTCACAGGTGATACAACTGGAAAAAATTACATTCTGTAGTTGTAACTTAGCAGAGCTTATTATAGTAATTATTTATTTAAATAGGGCTTTCCTTTTTCTGTCCTTTCTGATACTAACATTTAGTTTTGGCTCTGAGAATAGACACATTCCAGTGAAAATTAGAAATACTGACATTGCATTTATCCTCCAAGACAGTGCCTTATACATCTCACTAGGTTCCCAGTCACCACAAAAACACATGGTGATGTATGAAAACTGAATTTGTAACCTAGAGCTATTCACATTTTCAACACACACCTCCTCATATACACTTCAGCCAAGATATTTTCCCACTCTTCTTAATCTAAAGTACATCAAAGTGACCCCGCACCAACCACATTCATTTCATCCATTCTCTGACTTATCTATCTCCTCTGTTCCCCTTTCTTCTGAACTCAAATCAGAGATGGTCACCAAAGACCAGCCTCAGAACATCTGGTTGCTAAGAAGCAGGACGCCGGGCGGGTGGGGACGCTGCACTGCGACAAGCCGGGCGCGCCGGCAGAGGGGGAAGGGGAAGGCCAAGGCGAGGCCCGGAGCGGCCGCGGCTCTGCCCCCTCCCTCCCGGCAGGAGGTCGTCGCCCATTGGCTCCGCCGCCCTGGCGTTGGCTCGGGATTGGCTGTGCGGGGTCGGGCCGGGGCGTGCCCCGCCCCTCCGCGAGCGGGCGGGGGCGGCTCCGCGGCCGGGTTGCGGGCCTGGCGGCTGGAGCTTGTTGGCTCGAGCGTGGGTGGTGCCGGCGGCCGGGGACTGGGGCGCAGCGAGGGGCTGCGCGGCCCAGGGCAGGTGAGCGAGACGCCGGCGTCGGGGGCCTGCGGCCTGGCGAGGGGCGGCCAGCGGCGAGGGGCGGTGCCGCCCGCCACCGGAGCGTTCCCGCCGCGGCCCGGCTCCCCCGGCCGCGCGAGCCGGTCCCGGTCGCCCAAACGCCCCTTCTCCCTCCACGGGTCCCCGCGGCCGCCCCGTCGGCGCGCCAGCTGAGGGAGCCCCGGGTTCTGCCCGCCGCGCCGCGCCCGGGGGGTGCCCCACATCTCCCCCAGCCTCGTCCCGCGCTCGTCGCCTTTGTCCGAACCCCAACCTCTCGGCGCCGGCAGGGTTTCTGCCCCCGGGGAGGCTGCGGTGGGGCGGAGGGGTCGGGAAGGGGGGACCCCACAGGCTGGGTGCCGGGCGGACGCGCAGCGCAGAGCGCCTCTGGGCGGAAGGTTTGAAGGCGATTTTCACGGTGTCAGACGGAGTTCGCTCTCCTCTTCATGGTCAGTCCCGACCGCGGTCAGGGGGCCGAGCACGGCTTCTCCCGCCGGAGAGAGTGACTCAGTGTGTCGCCCACCCTCTGTTCTGCTGAAGGCTTTGACAGGCCCGGCTGGTCCCTCCCTTTCCATCTTGCCTCTGTCAAGGCGGGAAGAGTCTCCTATAAGAGCCTTTTTCTATAGGAAAAAAATAAGAAAAAGGAAAAGGAAATAAAGCAAAAGAAAAATAAGAAAAAGAAAAATCAGATTCCAGACGTGGACGTCTGTTTGGGCTTAACTCATTAATTAGATTGATCTTAATACGTTTTAAATAAACTAAGGTTGTGGGAATGGGAGAGAGGATTGAGGTGTGTTCTTTAAAAGTCCCATTTTATCATGAATGGGAGTAGGTTTAGTAGTGGTGTAATTTGAACTTCGAACTTTTTGTTATTGTCACAGTTTTTGATAAATATGTACTTTTTTTTCCCTAAGTACACTGTGACAGCTATTAGCAGAGAATTTATGTGTTAATAAGGATTATCTGTTCTAGTCTTTCATACTAACATTCAGACTCTCAGGGATGCTTTCTTGAACACTGATTTAACTGGACTTACACTGACTGGCGGCCCCGGGTTGTGATTCAGTTGTGTAAAGGAAATGTAAAAAGAAAAAGTCTTCACATATAGATGATTTAAATTGTTCTTAAATGTGTATATTATATATTGACAGTTATTGGACCTTACATAATTGGGTTTCTTTTTGGAAGACGTTATGTTTGTGAGATGTATCCATGTTGAAATACATAGCTGCAGTTTATTCAATAATGCTATATACTATTCAATTAAATTGTTTATTCATCTCAAAAAAAAAAACAAAAAAAATGTGTATATTATAAATGAGTTGCACATTTGAAATCCACATGTAAGTTTTTTAGTATTTAATATGGACAAAAATATATTTGATTCATCGACAGTTGCCTGCACTTTGTAGTCCACAAAAACACTTTAGAATTTTTTAAAAGATTTTATTTATTTGTGTGTATAACAACTGGGGTGCAGGCCAGAGGTGGGATCTTGGTGAGAGGATTCACCAGAGACAGAGTGGGGAGCAGAAGAGGGAGACTGACTGAAATACACTGTTGAGGGGAGCAGCTAGTTTGAGACAGGAAAGGTCTGCTGCACACAATGGGTTAGCTCCCTGGCCAGGATGGAACTCAGGCCATAACTGTGATAGCCTGAGATTTAACCTCTAGGCCACCAGGGAGGCCCTTTAGAACTTTTAAATCAATCTTTTTGGAAATAGGGAATAAACCTCACCTACATCTTTGCCCAGCATTGTTTTAATCTGTTTTCTCTGAGGCCTAAACAAATTATAATAGAATATCCCATGCTCTAATAAATACATCTCAGATTGTGTGGTATGAAAATGATAATGTGCTGGACAAAGAATTGGAGAACAATGAAATTCTGTAAAATATTTTCAACTGGGTTCAAAACAGTATTTTACATTTATTAAACTAATCCTTGATTTTTTTAATGACAATAATAAGTGATTTATATTGAACACCTTTTGTATGTCAGGTAGTATGTTTGGTGCTTTACATATATACTTTATTATTTAATCTTTACAGTAACACCAAAGGAACATACAGTTTTTCCTTATGTTATAACTGAGACTGTTAAAACCACAGGTTGTACTGCTAGAGGTGGTGAAGCTGGCTGAGAATTTAGATCTGACTTTTACTCATTTTGTTGAGAGTATACTTCATTGGAATGCTGCAGTAGCTCTTTTTCTCAGTCACGTTTATCTCTATGAATCTAATCTGAGGAAGTCTTTAATGGTAATGTTACTGTATTATAAACATTACATAGTCCTCACTATGTGCCAGGTATCTGTCCATATAACCTCAAAATTTTATGGACTTGGGGCCTCCCCAGTGGCACAGTGGTTGAGCGCTGGGTTGCAAGGTGCCCGCAGCCTCTGCTGCGCAGGTTTGTTCCCTGTCCACCGGCCAGGGTCCCACATGGTGCAGCAGACCTCTCCTGTGGTGCCCGTTGCTCCCCTCAGCAGTATATTTCGTCAGTCTGCCTGTTCTGTTCCCTGCTCTGACTCTGGTGAATTCTCTCGCCCTCCCGTGCTTCTGACTGTACCTAGTGCTTGTATAAATAAATAAATAAATCTTTAAAAAAAATTATATGGACTGGCTACTATTTATTATCTTTGTCTTACAGGTGAGGAAATTGAAGCATAGAGAAAAAAAATCGGAATCAGATATCAGATTAATTCCTTAAGTGGTAGAGCTGGGGTGAAAATTTGGGCAGTGTGGTTCCATAGCTCACACCGTTATCCACCACATGATTCTGGCCAATCAACAAGGTACCTCTCTGGTTACTAGGATGCTATGATTTTAGACTGCTTCTTTTTGTTTCATTTTATTTCATTTTATTTTTTTAAAGATTTATTTATTTATGCATACAAGAGCTGGGGTACAGGCCAGAGATGTGGGAGGTGAGAGAATTCACCAGAGACAGAGTGGGGAACAAAACAGGCAGATTGACTGAAGTAAACTGCTAAGGGGAGCAGTGGGTGAGACAGGAAAAGGTCTGCTGCACCATGTGGGTTGCTCCCTGGCTGGCCGGGGATCAAACTCGTGCTGTAGAGGCTGTGGATTGCTTCAAGCGCAGTGCTTAACCACTTGTGCCACCAGGGAGGCCCTGTTGTTTCCTTTTAATGTTCATACTGGAACATGTAGGTTAACCTCAAGATGTCTGCCACCTGATGTCCTGTACCAGTGTCTTATATAAACCATTACATGGTACTAATCATAGTTAACAGTTATTGAATATGTGGGTCTCCATTCCAACCCCCCAGTCCAATATTTAAACATTTCATGTAATCCTCAGCATATTCCTAAGGAGGTAGATACTTGTATTTTATACTGCATCACATTTGTGAGATGCTTTTATTGTCTTCACAATGCTTTCACAAAATAGTCCCTTTGATTCTGTATGTCAGTCTGGTTTTTTTTTAAAGATTTCAGACCAGAGGTGTGGGGGATGAGAGGATTCACCAGAGACAGAGTGGGGAACAGAACAGGCAGACTGACCAAAGTACACTGCTGAGGGGAGCAGCGGGTGTGAGTCAGGAGAGGTCTGCTGCGCCATGTGGGTTGCTCCCTGGCCCGCCGGGAAATCGAACTGGTATTGCAGTGGCTGCAGACAGCTTCATAGGTTGCGGCTCAACCCCTTGTGCCACCAGGGAGGCCCCTATATCAGTCCATTATTAACAGTGCTTAATTTTTTACTGAAACTGAAATGATTTGCTTTGACAGACTCCTGTATATACTACTTTTTTCCACTGTACTGGTTTGTCAGTGTATCTTTGCTTTGTTCTTCTTGGCCTAAAATATTTTTCCATAGGAACAATTTATATTTGGAGGTTATATTCCCAACTCAAAATTCAACATCAATTAAATCATAGACATGACTAGCTATAAAACTTTATCATTATTTTCATCTGTAAATTTATATTCTGACCAGCTATAATGCTTGGCATGTTGTGGGGACTTAGTAAATATTTGAATAAAATAAGAAATGTCCCATATACATTGATACAAAAAAGGTTTTCAAAATTCTGTTTTTTAAATTTCAACTACGTTCAGGTATAATTGACATAAATTCCTAAAATTCTCTAAGGTTGAATGAGGAAGCTTTTCTTTTTTGATACCAGAGCCATCCCTCTTCCCTTCCTCACAAACAGGCTTTTAAAATTGTTTCATTGAATTATAACTAACTTCAAGATATAATCTCCCTGTCATTTATAACTAGTAATTACATGGCACAATAACAAGGATTATGCTTGTTCTAAAATGTCAGATTAACTTGGTTTTATGTTTTGTTTCATTATATCAGTGAAATTAGATATGTTCTAAAGGAATTATTGCTTAGGACTAGAATAACATCCTAATTCTTTTTAACCAGCTGGGTTTCATTGTTTTAACATATTAATTCTGCCATCCATGAATTGCTAGACAGAGTATAAATCAGGAACACTTAAGAATTATTTTTGGAGGATAAATTGTGTTTGTTTTCCGTCTGGTGCTTATTTGAAAATGTTAAACGTACAACAAAGTCAAAAGAATGTTATAGTAAACACCCATATGCCTACTATGTAAATTCTACCATTAATTTTTTTATACTTTTTAATCAAATATCCATATATTTATCCATCCACCATTCATTATATTGGAAAATATTTGAACTGTATAGTCTGTGCTCATTTTTGGTCAGTTTTAGTTTTTCTTTGCATAGTAGTAGATAATTCTTAGGAATGAATTATACCTGATTTATAATGTTTTGAAAACATTTGGATTTCAAGTTATAAATAAATCTTTTTGTCTTCTTTACCCATAGTTCCAAAAGATGAGTCGTGGGTATTCAGAAAACAACAATTTTCTGAACAATAACAGCCAAATGGTGTTGGACATGATCCTTTATCCATTAATCGGAGTCCATCAGACCATCAATTGGGAAACTGTGGCAAGACTTGTGCCTGGATTAACACCTAAAGAGGTAACTAACAATCTCTTAGGTACCTCTTAAAAAAAAAACCAGGAAAAGTGATCAATTTACAGGAACAGTTAAGAGAAGAAACATTTTTTAAATTTTATTTATTTATATATATTTTACATCATTGTTCATTTTTGTACAATATTTGCTTTCTCCTCTCAAGTACAGTTCCCGTAAAATTCTTTCCACCAGCTCACCTGTGCACCAGCACCATAGTCCCTTTTGCTCTTCCCTCCGGTTTTGGCCCTCCCCGCACCACACCCCCTCCAACCCTCCTCTCCCCGGTAGAATATCTCTGATTTATAGTGTGCCTGTTAATTTTGGTTTCTTATTTGGTTCCGCTATATTTCTCCTATAAGTGAAACCATCTGAGATTTTTCTTCTTCCTTCTGACTTATTTTACTGAGCATTATCCCTTCAAGTTCCATCCAAATTGCTGTGAATGACATGAGTTTATCTTTTTTTTTTAAAAAAAGATTTATTATGCATACAAGAGCTGGGGTACAGGCCAGAGGTGCAGGGGTGAGAGGATTTACCAGAGGCAGAGTGGGGAATAGAAGAGGCAGATTGACCAAAGTACACTGCTGAGGGGAGCAGCGGGCAAGTCAGGAGAGGTCTGTTGCACCATGTGGGTTGCTCCCTGGCTGGGTGGGGCGTGAACTCGTGCTATAGAGGTTGTGGATAGCTTCAGAGGTTGCGTCTTAACCCTTTGCGCCACCAGGGAGGCCCAAGTTTATCTTTTTTGATTGCTGAATAACATCCATTGTGAATATATACCACATCTTCTTGATCCAGTCATCTAATTTTGGGCATTTGGGTTGTTTCCATATCTTGCCTATTATAGTGCTGCAGTAAACATAGGGGTACAGGTATCCTTTTGATTTAATGTTTTTTGTGTTCTTTGGGTAGATTCCTAGGAGTGGAATTGCTGGGTCATATGGAAGCTCCATTTTTAGTAATTTGAGGACCTTCCACACAACTTTCCATAGTGGTTGGACCAGTTTGCATTCCCACCAGCAGCTAGGAGAGTTCCTTTTTCTCGCCAACATTTGTGGTTTCCTGTTTTTTTAATATGTGCCATTGTCTCTGGTGTAAGGTAGTATCTCCTTGTGGTTTTGACTTGCATTTCCCTGATTACAAATGATGTTGAACATTTTTTCATATACCTGTTGGCCATTTGTATTTCCTCTTTGGAGCAGTGTCTGTTTAGCTCTAGGAGAAGAAAACTTTTTTGAGTTACATATTCATATGCATGTATAAATGCTGAATGTAAAAAGTATTAATTTGACCAAATTCAAGCTATATAAATATATATATATATATAAAAATCCACCTGGTGTGTTTAAATTCAACCTCATTTTACATGTTTACAACTGAAAATTAATAAGATCTTAATTTAAGCAGTAAAAGTGTTTCTATAAAATTATAGGTAATAAAGTATTTGTAAATTAGATTATGTATTATTAAAGCCCTAATGATTCTCAAATTGGAGTGATATATATATCTTTTTAAAAAAAATTTTTGAATTCTCAGTATTGACTTAAATTATTTTTATTATAATGTAAGTTAAATGTGCACTAACATTACTACATATAAACATACCTATACCACTGTAAACTAAATTTACCTGTTATAGACATAAGTGAAAACTAAAATAATGCTCACTTAGAGTAAAAATTAATAGTGTTTTGCCAAAATTAAATTGCTGATTATAAGTCAAATATTATGCAATCTCTTGTACACAGAATTTTTTGTGTTCAGCCTATACTGCCCTATGCCTTTCAAAGCCTTCACTCTTTCTCCACTTTTCTCTCTTTCACCTTTTGTGGAGCCTTAGGTTGCACCATGATGTTACTTGTCTTCCTTTGGCACGAATGCATCACTCCCCTATCAAGTCCCTTACTCACCTTTGTCATCATTTAGAATTAATCTTGGACAATTGAAGTATTTCTTGGTACAAATTTAATTGTAAACAGAATAGTAGGCACTGAAATAATCTGTCATCCTGGTGATATAGAAGATTTTATTCATGCTATCCTAGGAAACAAAACTTAAAATCTAAAAATTTTTATAGGGAATTCTTAAATTTCTGGCAATTTATCCATAAACCCTAGTTTGAGAAACTTTGACTCAGAATTTTTGCTGTGAAAAGAAATCCTAACTGGCCTCCCTGGTGGCCTAGATGTTAAATGTCAGCCCTATCACCACTGTGGCCTGAGTTTGAGCCCCAGCCTGGGAGCCAAGCCAGTCTCCAGTATTTCAGAGCCAGTATTTCAATCTCACCCTCTGCTCCCCTTAGCAGTATATTTCAGTAAATCCTCCTGTTCTGCTCCCCACTCTGTCTCTGGTGAAGCCTCTCACCCCCCACTTCTGGTCTACACCCCAGTTTTTCTATGTAAAAATAAATGTTTTAAACATTTAAAAAAGAAAGAAAGAAAGAAATCCTAAACTGAGTGAATAGCCTCAGAATTCTGGAAGTAGAAATGACATTATTGATTTTCACCAGTAGGTTTTAAGCATGTTTACCACCACTGCCACATATAAGGAACAAATATTTGTTAAATCTTTGAATGAATAAAGTTCCGCCATCTTCCCTAATAGTTGAGAAAATCAGGACCCACAAAGATTACTTGCCCTAGTTTGATAGGTCTTTCATGAAATGATGAAGGAATTTAATTTTTAGTATATCTTATTCCCAGTTTATATTTTTTTTTTTAAGATTTATTTATTTATGTATATAAGAACTGGGGCACAGGCCAGAGGTGGGGGAGTGAGAGGATTCACCAGAGACAGAGTGGGGAACAGAACAGGCAGATTGACCGAAACACACTGCCGAGGGGTGCAGTGGGCGAGTCAGGAGAGGACTGCTGTGCCATATGGGTAGCTCCCTGGCCAGGGATCGAACTCATGCTGCAGTGGCTGTGGGCAGCTTCATAGGTTAGGTCTCAACCCCTTGCACCACCAGGAAGGCTTAAGTCAGTGATTTCTAACAAACTGTTCTGTTAGTCTTTGGTCTTTGCTCTGATGTTTAGATCTTTGAAGCTTCTTGATACTTTGTTTACATTGACACATTTCTGAGAACTGTCCCATGGTTAATCAGTCTCATTATGCTTTTTTTTTTTTTTTTTTTTTTGGTAGCATTTGGCTTTATTTTTTTTTTTTTATTTTTTTTTTTTTTTATTTTTTTTTTAATATTAAATTTTATTTTTATATTCCCCCATACAATTGCAAACGCCCCATTCTGACCCCAATCCTTCCCCTCCCGCCCCCCACCCCCCAAAAAGTGTCTCTGGTTCATAGTTTTTTGTTGATTTTGATTTTCACTTTCTTATATTCATTTTCCTGGTCCCTTATTTAAGTTTTCTAGATTCCTGCTATGAGTGAGACCATCCGGTATTTTTCTTTTTCTTTTTGGCTTATTTCGCTGAGCATGATCCCTTCCAGCGCTATCCATGTTGCTGCAAATTGCATGTGTTTATCTTTTTTGAATGCTGAGTAATATTCCATGGTATATATGTACCACATCTTCTTGATCCAGTCATCTATTTTTGGGCATTTGGGTTGTTTCCAAAGCTTAGCTATTGTAAACATTGCTGCTATAAACATAGGGGTGCAGGTGCTCTTTGGAATTGATGTTTCTGTGTCCTTTGGGTAAATACCTAGGAGTGGAATTGCTGGATCATATGGAAGCTCTATGTTTAGTAGGTCCAGAAATCTCCACACAGCTCTCCATAGTGGTTGGACCAGTTTGCACTCCCACCAACAGTGCAGAAGAGTTCCTTTTTCTCCACATCCTCGCCAACATTTGTTGTTGCTAGTTTTTTTAATATGTGCCATTCTCACTGGTGTGAGATGGTATCTCATGGTAGTTTTGATTTGCATTTCCCTGATTACAAGTGATGTTGAACATTTTTTCATATGTCTGTTGGCCATTTGCATTTCCTCTTCAGAGAAGTTTCTTTTTAGCTCTTCTGCCCATTTTATGACTAGATTATTTTCTTTGTTGTTGCTGAGTCTCATCAGCTCTTTGCAGATTTTTGTGATCAGTCCTTTATCATTAGTGTTGGGTGCAAAAATGTTCTCCCAGTTGGTGGGGTTTCTCTTTGTTTTTGTTATTGTCTCTTTTGCTGTGCAGAAGCTCTTTAATTTGATGTAGTCCCAGCTGTTTATCTTTGTCTTCACTATCACTGCTTTGGGTGATGTGTCTGTAAAGATGTCTTTGATGTGCAAATCCCGTAGTGTTTCGCCTATATTTCCTTCTATGTATTTTATGGTTTCAGGTCTTATGTCTAGTTCTTTAATCCATTTGAGTTGATTTTTGTGTATGGTGTGAGGTAGTGGTCAAGCTTCATTCTTTTGCATGTAGCGACCCAGTTTTCCCAGCACCATTTATTGAACAAACTTTCTTTGCTCCAATGCATAGTCTTTGCTCCTTTGTCAAAGATTAGTTGACCATAAATCTGTGGGTTTATTTCTGGATTTTCTATTCAATTCCATTGGTCTTACGTACGTCTGTTCTTATTCCAATACCATGCAGTTTTGATGATTATGGCTTTGTAGTATAGTTTGAAGTCTGGGAGTGTGATGACTCCATTTCCTTCTTTTTTTTTCAGTAGAGCTTTGGCTATTCGGGGTTTTTGGTGATTCCATATGAATTTCATCAATAATTGTTCTATTTCTTTGAAGAATGCCATTGAGATTTTGATTGGAATAGCATTGAATCTGTATATTGCTTTTGGTAGGATGGCCATTTTAATAATGTTTATTCTTCCAATCCATGAGCAGGGGATGTCTTTCCATTTCTTTGTGTCTTCTTCTATTTCTTTTAACAGTGTTTTATAATTTTCTTTGTATAGGTCCTTTACCTCTTTTGTTAGATTTATTCCCAAATATTTGATTTTTTTTGTTTCGATAATAAAAGGGGTGGTTTTTTTGATTTCTTCTTCTTCAGATTTATTGTTTGTGTATAGGAAGGCTACTGACTTTTGTGTGTTGATTTTGTA